GCGATGAGACGAGATGAGATGAGGTACTGAAGATTTGAGGTGAGGGGGCCAAGGATTCGAGTTGAGAGTTGAGAGTTGAGATTGAGGGCGAGGGCGCTTAAGCAGCGGTTTTGCGCCAGCTGGAGACGGCGTCCGCGCGGGAGCGTCTCAGCTGCGCGGGGGCTACCCACGCAGGGGCGGGGGCGAGCACGGGGGCAGAGGTAGCGGCGCCAAGCATAACACCACCGCTCATCACGCGCGTGCGCCCGCCTTCGTAGCTGTACTCCACGACCTCCGCGTCGTCGGCGGCGCATGCCGCGCGTACAGAGGTGGAGGAAACAGACGTCGCCGACGAAGCGGACGAGAAGTCGTCTTCGGAGTCCTCGTCGGACTCGCAAAACTCGGACTCCTCAGAGTCAGACTCCTCGCAGTCGTCGTCGACGGAGGAAGAGATGGCGCACGAGAGCAGCGTAGGAATCCGAGTAGGGTTGAGCGCCGCGCCCCTCTGCGCGCGCGTGCACGTCAGCGTCGCCGCCGCGCGGAGGCGGCTCGCGAGCGGCTGCGCAGCAGGCACGAGCATCAGCGCGAGCGCCGTGCTCTTAATCGGCGCCGCCACGCTCGCGCTGAGCCAAAGCGTCCTGCGCGGCATGCGCCCGACCTTGACGCTGAGCGCCGTGGCGGTGAGGTACAGCCGGACCTCGACGCCGTTGGAGAGGAGCGCGATCCAGTCGGCCCAGCGGACGCCGGTGAGGAGGCAGGCGCGCTGGATGGGTGCGGGGGGAGGGCAGTGCGGGGAGAGGAGGAAGGCGGTGGATTCGAAGGAGGAGGGGGAGGGGGAGGAGAAGGCGCGGGTGAGGGCGAGCTGGAGCGCGATTATGGTGGTGGGCGTGTGGGAGCGCATGAGGGGGCGTGTGAGGAATGAGACGAGCTGCGTGAGGGCGGAGGCGGGCATGGTTGGTTTAAAAAGGCTGGGTGATGGGGTTGGTTCAAGTTTAAACGTAAGGGGATCCGCCGGGAATCGAGGCTATACAATGCAAGTCTGTGCGTTCAAGACTCCATGATCAGGAAGAGAAAAAAAGGGATGCGGATTGGATGCACACATACCAAGGGTGTGAACGTGGTTGAAAACGTGGGGTCGTAAAAAGGAAAGTGATCAAAGGAGGGGAGTTCAAACAAACAAAGTGTATGAGGAGGGAGCGAGCGAAAGCAGCTTGGGGTTTGTCCGCCGCGGGGCCTTCATCTTATAGTACAAAAGACAATGCGCCTATTGTCTGTCGGCAAAGAACCCTTTATTGTTCAAGGACAATAGGATGATGAGCATCGTGGGAACGTTTGATGGTCTCGGCGGCATCTCGAACGCTTGGACGAAAGACTGAATGCAACGGAGTTGGTTGTGAACATTGCAGTTGGAGTTGGACGGCGGGTATCCAGCAGCGGCGTTGTGAGGTGGGTAATTATAAGAACAGGTTGAATTGTATGGCGTCGGCCGAAATGATCCCCGCCTTACCGCATCCGCTTTCAACTCGGGCGCCGGCGGTATTCCGAATTCAAACGACGCAAAAAGAAACCGTAACATTCATTAACACCCTCTGCACTCTGTATCTGTAAGTAAACAACTCATCATCTCTCGTCCTCGCCTCCGCCTTTCTCCCTCAACTCCTCTCTCGCATTCCCGTTCGCATGCGTCGGATTCGAATTCGTCGTACTCGTCGTCGAAGGAGCGGTAGTCGTGCGCGGAGGAGCGTCATCCTCCTCAGCGGCCTCATCCCCATCCTCGTCGTCGGAGCGCACGTCCGCCGCCTTGGCTGTGGTCATTATCCTGCAACCCAACCCAACCCCCTCGTCAGTAACCCCATTATGCAACTCGAACCAAATTCGAAGCAAGAGGAATTCGGCGGGAAGCAACGAGGAAGGAAGTGGGACGCACTTCCAAACAATCCGCAAAATCAGATAATACCAAAACAAATTAAGCGCCTGCAACGCGACCAAAGCGCCGAAGGCGCCGTAGCGAACGCTAGGCGGGATGCGTGTCGTCGACCTGCTCATCGCAATCATCAATATTGAATTCAAATGTGTTAAAGGTAGGAGGGAAGGACGCACGGCAACCGCTCGTCCAGATCAAACCAGACGGACCAGAGGATGGTGAGGTTTAGGTAGTGTCGGAAGTAGCTGTCGCGAGGATTCAACTAGATGACTTGAAGAAGGCAGGTGGTACGCACGTCCACGACCCAACAAAGGCGGTGAAGACAAAGTAGTTGAGGGTGTTGTATTGGATGTAGTTCAGGAGCTTTGATAGCTGTTCGGTCCGCTTAGCATTGATTGGATAAAAGAGGTGGTGATGATATGCACGCACCGCCAAGAACATATCCGGTATATCCATGCTCATGTACACCGCGCTCCCGATGTAGGTCAGGTTCATCACGTAGCTCACGCTGTCCCCGGCGTCAATTCAATTTAACTCTCAACACCAAACTGAGATAGAACGAAGAAAAGAGGGACATACATGACGAGAAAAAGCGTAACAACATGGTGCGCCACCAGCTCCGTGTAATCCTTGCGCGGCTTCTCCAGCCCAAGGACGAGCACGAGGAATTGCTGCACCCAGTAGGCCGTCTGGAGCAGGTAGTAGCGCTTGAGCTCGGGCGGCATGGCGGTGTGGGGGTAATCTGGGTCGCAGTAGTTTAAATAAGAGAGGTAATAAGAGAGCCAAGCACAAGGGGACGCACCGATCCAGAAGTAGTCCGTCCTATACCACCACGTCGGTAGTTGGTGCATCACGCGCTGGAACACACCGCGATGAGTTTATCAATTACTCCCGACCAAAAAAACTGATATCCGGAACGCACCATGCCCCACGCGCCAAACACGAGGAAATAGACAAACGCATACCCCTGCTCCCCAAAGCGCTCCAGCTTAGCAGTGCGCGTCAACCCAAAGAGGCGCCCCACGCGCGACGCGGCGCGAGCGGCGATGACCTGCCGCACGAGGGAGAACGCGACGACGTGGTAGGCCACGAAGGCGACGTCGCCCGGGCCCACGCCATATCGCGCGGGCCCCAGGGCGGGGACGCGGTGCGCGAGGAGGAAGCACGGCGCGAAGGGGTTCTCGCGAAGCGGGTGCGGGATGTGCAGCGCGGCGAGGATGTGTGGGAGGAGGAGCTCCCAGTTGAGGAAGAGGATGAGGGGGGTGAGGAGGATGGGTAGGGCTTCGGCTACATCCGTGACAACATCCGTGAGTACTTGCGGATGAACGGGACGGGGACGGCGCGGTGCGTACCCGGCTCGACGGCCCATCGGAGGAGAGGAGATATGGGCGGCTTGCGCGGGGCCATGGGTGGGAAGCCCGGGCGGATGGGGGTCTGCGCGCCCAGCGGGCTGCGGCGGATGAGGAGGTTATGAAGAGGAGGAGAGGGAGGGGCGCGGGACGGACGTCTGGGGCTCGACCGAGTCAGTGAAATGGTGCGTGGGTCCCCGCGCCCTGTGCCCGCCGCCGATAACGTCAGTCTGGGACTTAGGTGGCTCGGGCGGAGCATAGGACGTACTTGGGCTTGAGGTAAGCCAAATCGGCGGGCTTACCGCGCTTCTGCGGGGGGTGCATCCTGGAGGATGCGTGGAGGGAGGTCGGCGGAGGGGAAGAGGGAAAAAGTGATCGATGTGATGTGCCATTTCCCTGGTTCAATTCGATATGTCATCTGCGTGGTGGTGCCATTTCTGACTCAGCCTCTTCCCAGGTCCCGTGTTCTCCCGCAGTTACCCCGGTTTCAGCCGCAGGGCACTTTAGGTCGTCCATAGACTCGAAAATGGTGTTTTCAACCACAAAAAAGTTGAATATTTCTTTTACCAATGAAGGTCGAAAAAAGCTTGGCACGACGGGCGAGAGAAAATCCCACGTCATCACCGATTTCTGTTCGCCGTGTTTGGAGAGTAAACAAGTCGCCGGGGACCCACTGAAAAAAAAAAACGACGCCGAAACGTGGGGTGTGGCGATGTTGGCCGAACGGAGACTCGACCCAGCAAGATGAGATATTTGTGTCTCCGATGTGACTGGGTCCCTTCCTCAGCTGAACCGCCAATGAACGTGCGGAGGTCCTAAGTTCTAAGTTCTTCAAGGACATGACTCACGCGGCCTGTACTGAACAGTTGAACCTTAGTTTAACTAGGTCAAACTTGGGAAACCAGATTTAGGTATCACTTACAGGAAACTATGTATGAAGAGACTAAAAAGGAAACTCCGTGGGTTATTCTTGCTTTGACTGAGACCGCGTCGGACCAGAGGCATATGCAGGAGGAAGGCGAATAATGAATTGGAAGATCTGGAACGAAGAATGGGCGACGGGCAACTAAGTATGAACAGTATGAACGACCGAACACGGAATTAATCAACCTTGATTCAACGACACCGAACCGGAGGATGCCGTGCCGCGGTTCAACTTCCAACTTGACCGACTTCGACACGGAAAATTCGGAGCGGGGTGAAAGGAAGGACGTAGGGGAGGTAGGGGATATTAGGGTAAGGCGAGATGGGGAGGAGATAGTAAACCCGTACCCACCCAAGAAAAAAAAAGAGTACCAAAGATTGGGTATGACCCGACCCCGAATCGAACGAGGACCTCCTGCTTGGAAGTTGGGCAGGTGCACACCATGTGCTATCAGGCGTTCGCATCAACTTTCAGGGCTCTTTATCACTACCAAAATTCAACCTCTACCTAAACTCAAAGTAAGCATTTGAAGGTGGGCAGATGCACACAGTGTGCTATTTGCTATTGAGTGTTCTTAGCCCACTGTTTGTGTGGTTTTATATACACCAGAATTCAACTTCAACATCGACATTCAACTTGGGTTGAAAAAATTAAAGGCTGGCTGGAACCGAGACATCACCCGACCCCGATTCAAACGGGGCCTCCTGCATGCGGATCCCATCGGGTGCGCTTACCCATACCTTCCGCATATCTTTATACCCACAGAAATTCAACTCAAGTTGGAAAAGTTGGCAAAAAGGTCAACTGGTACCTAGCAATTGTATCACCCAACCCCGGATTGAACGGGACTCCTGCCTACATGCAATCAACTACAATAATGGAGGGCAGGTGCATACCACATGCTATTGGGTGTTCCTACTCTGTTTTCTTAAGCTCTTCATACTAGCAAAATCTTGACCTGGGTTGGAAACAAAAGGAGTCGGACCTACAAGTATCACCAGTGTTCAAATTCAAATTGATTATTCGCCAACTCGAACAGGCGTCAATCAACCCCGGAAACACCCGAACGCCGCTTGCTTGCCGCTTGCTCTCTACCTCCACAATCGAAATGCCCTCTCAACCCAACGTAGAGTGAGCACCCCGCAACAAGTATGATCACTCACCGACAGAAGGGAATGAAGCCGTAATACAATCCCCTCCAATCCGAATGCACACCCTGGAGGCATCGGGTTTTCTTGCTCTTGGCGTAGGAATGCGCATCCATAGCTGCAGTCGTCTCGTCAGGTAAAGACGTCGCTCAGCAGCATGTAATACAGGGTAGGCGCACTTGCTCGACTCGGAGGAAGGAACAGTTTTTTTACGACAGCATCACAGGGAATGCGAGGCGGTAATCTGTCCGACGACGACGCGAGAGACAGTTCGCCCTGGATCTCCTCCAAAAATAACGATACTTGGCTGTCCGCGACCTTGACCGTCTGTCTGCCCTCTGTCTGTCTGTCAGTCAATTCGGCGACACCGTGCGATCTGGACGCCGACGGCCCTACAAATAGCTGCGGATTGAAGGCATAAACCCCCTCCATACCCCAAATCATGGCCATGTACAGACGCCTCACCTCTGCCTTCCTCCTCACCCAGCTGGCGATCAGCGGCTTCTCACAAACCGTAAGCCCTACTTCATCCCACCACTTATTGTATCGTTGAAGCCTCGCCAGACGGTTCCGCAGTACAAGGAATGGAAATCTATCGGGTGCCACGGGTCAGTGCTTCTGTCAATCTCAGCTATGGCTCAATGCCATCCCCCCACCCAGAGACAGCACGTCCGCGCGCTCCCTGCACCACCTCGTCCCCGCCTCAGCCAACACGACGGTAGAGACCTGCCTCGACGCCTGCGCCGCCGGCGGCTTCATCCTTGCCGGGCTCGAATTCGGGCACGAGTGCCGTACGTCTCCCTTCCCCTCCCCAATCCCAATCTCCCTCTCCCTTTTCCCTTTTCTTTTTTATTTACACTTACACTCAACGTATGGCAGATTGCGGCAACGCCCTCCTCTACACCAACCCCACACCCCCACCGGGCGCCTGCACACTCCCCTGCGCGGGGAACGCGTCCGAAGCGTGCGGCGGGTCGCAGACGCTCAACTTGTATCAGTTTGCCGACACGCCATTTACGACGGGGCCGGCGGCGATTGTGTTTGAGTATAAGAATTGGGTGAGATGGGCGTGTATCAAGTGCGTATATATTCTTCTTGAATTGTTTCTCGTTGCGCCGTAGGGCAGCATTGAAAGTTTCTAATTTGGAATTTGCGGTCGTTTTCAGCCCGGGCCCCCCGTTCCCTTTCGCGCCGGTGCCCGCGATCCCGGCTGACGAGATGACGGTGGAGCGGTGCTTGGACGGGTGTGCGGCGGCGGGGTGTAATGCCGCTGGTGTTCAGGACGGACAGGTGCGTCTTCGTCTACTTATATATTTACTCATTCTAATCCTTGCACCCTCACTAGAGATGCTGTACGTACAGCCCCCCAATCGTCCCGAATTACTCATTGATTGCTGTGGCGGCCAGTCTGCAACATCGTCCCAGCTGACGAAAACCCACAGCCAAACAGCTGGGAGTCGACCAACGAGTTCGACTGCGCCAACCCGTGCCTGGGGAACGCGACGGAGGTGTGTGGCGGGGAGCTCGGGCGCGATTCGAACTTCCAGGGCGGGGTGTCGGCGTATGTGACGTGTGAGTGGGAGGGGCGGTGTTGAACCGTTCGTTCGTTCGTTCGTTCGTTCGTTCGTTCAATGCCTGCTCGAATTGCTGCTGTAATTATTTTCGACGACGTATGTGCGACGTGGTTCAAATAGAATGATTCTATCATTTTGACCTCATCTGGAATTTCAGCCACGGAGGGTAAATGTCCGGAAAGGATATCTGTGTTGCCTAACCAATGAAACCTGGTCCCTGGGCCGGTCCTCGTTCTGAGGCGAGGGTTCCTATCTAGAGACGATGCCGATGATCCTGCGCTGATGGCCCACTCTGCGGGAGCTCTCGGCATCTCAGCGGAGTTACGGGTCCAAGTTCAACCATGGCGGCGAGTTCGGCTTAAGTTCAACCACAACCGACAGTTAAATAATGAATTACACGCGCGGACATTCCACTGAGTTAACCGTTCCTGCTCAAATGAATCGTGAAGCTGACCACTACACTTCTGGAGCCCAGAGATTTATCGACCTGGTCCCCGTCGCACCGACTCCCACGTTCGCCATGGACGCCTTCACGTTCTTTACTGACACCGATGGTTGGATCGAGTCCAACACACGCTCTTTCATCGACTTTTTCATGTCGCGGGACACAGCTTCGAAGCTCGCACTCGGAAACCGAATGCGCATGCTCACCTGGGCCCACGACTCACTCCCACCCCCCGATTACCCTTACACCCGCGCCGTCTCCGCCCACTCGGCAGTAATCCAACTTTACGCCCGATCCGGACAATTGCCGACAGCGGAAACACTGGAGTCGAGGTCTAAACTCGACTCCGGGTTGTGTCGACTGGGGTGCAGTGCGCTCGAAAGCATGCACCACCTATTCGTTGAATGCGCCTCTTTTTCACAATGGCGTATCGACGCAGCGGAGGAGGCAGGAGCTCAAACTAACCGAAGCGGGAATACTGCCCGCGGACCAGCGGTGGTTCCTTTTCGCAGCTAAGTTTCTGTTCTCTGATGAGCCTACAGTTTGGCCGCTAAAAATCTCGCAGTAGGCTCGTGACCAGCCTGCCAACTACGGCAAATCTCGTTGCAGGCACCGTGCCGTAGGCAGGCTGGTACAATTCGGGCTCGGCAGCCGTGCTGGGCCGGAGTTTGAATTTTTTTGGCCCTGGCGATCACTCCCATCACGGTGGCTGGGTAGCGCGATCAATTCCCCGCCAAATTGAACCATTCGTAGCGCACTATCTAGGATACCGAAAAATAATCCGAACAGACAGAAATGGAGTTCAAGGTATGCAGATGACCGATTTTGAAAAATGTTCTAGGAAAATCATTGAATTGAGCAAATGCCAGGCGAGGGGAAATTTTACAAACTCCGGCCCAGCACGGTTATTGATCACGAATTGTACCAGCCTGCCTACGGCACAACACTTGCGTTGAAGAATTGCCGTAGTTGGCAGGCTGGTCAGGAGCCTATCTCGCAGTACTATCTTGGCCAACTCCCAAAGGCAGGCGGCCGCCTCACTGTCGCGCTCCTTCCGAACGTCGTCAAGCGGCGTAAACTGATGACCCACATCTCGGCAGACTGGCATACGAGCGCGATCCGCCTCGCGGGAAGGATTTTTGGTAGCGTCCAACGAACCATGGCGGCACGCGCAGACACAGCTCGCAAACACCCATGAACACTCCTTTAAATTCCAGGTCGTCGCTGGAACGTCCCGCTGATTAGGGCGCGAAGGGGTTTTAGTGACTTTGAGGCCTTTACAATACCTTACGATTTTTATGACCGTTACGATACACTTCTTCCATTTGGGTTCATCGAGGTATTCGTACCTAAGTATTCTATACGTAGTTGAATATCACATTGTTAAATTGTTAAATATACGCGGAGCTGGCAACCGGCTGATCGGCATTGGGCGGCATCGGAGTTCAACGGCATCCAGTGCCGGACCAATGGCGACCACTGGAGCCATCAAGCAAACATATCAACCCGCGGAACCCACTGGATTTGAGTGGGTAAATGCACGGTTGATTCCCCCACTGGTTTCCATCGGAATCCGATGTATTTCGATGGGTCATTTGCGAGCGGAATCACCAGTGGATTGCACTTGATTCCACTGCATTCCGCCCGTTTTCAGCGGTTCTCGCTGGATGAGGCGTCAACCCGACCCACTGGAATCCCGCAGAATTCACCCAGAAACAGTGGAATGCGACGAAAAAGTGAACAAGATTTGAAAGAAAAAAAACATGTAAGTTAAGTCGTCTATCTAATCAGTTGCCGCTTGCCAATTGAATTCATCTGACAACTCCAAACCCTTGTCCTGCACGCGCCGTTTCACACGCTCACTGTATATCATCATCAGGACATGAATGAAGATGTCGTAGTTCACGTCGGACATCTGGCGCAACTGCGACTCAAAGCCATTGAGCCCAGAGTTCAATTGCGTTGTTCCGCCGTTTCAGTGTTGAACACGTGAGTTTGATGTGTTGTACCGTCGGCGGCCTGTTTGGCAACAATTAGATCAGGTTGGGAACCATTGAGTGGTGCCGGATTGCACCACAGTCGACAGAGGATGTCCGTGGCGCGGTGACCAATGTACTGTATTATTTCGTTCAATTCGACTTGTGTTTTAGGGCCATTGCTGGCGCATGGCAGAACGAGTCCTGCGCCTGGGGGGGGGTTTACCGTTTACCCTTTGCCGGCTGCCGCTAACTTCTACAGTACCACCCAGCATATTTAAATTTTGTGAATTGGTGTGTATGGGTGCAACCGCATACTTTCTGTTTCGCCCTACACAGCACCAAAAAAACGTGGCCCAGTCCAGGCAGCAATTATATGAGATGAATGAGAATACACGGCATTGATTACGTTGCAGTCCCGAATATAATCAAGACAACCAATCATTTTGCTGCCGTGAAAGGATCTTGCCATCTGCCTGTCCACCACGGTCAGTAAATTGCGAGGTGAATATGATATTAATGCATACATCTCGCGAGCGAAGCATAGCCTTGGTCATTGGGACCAGAAACACGGTGGGTAGTGGGAGGTCAAGACTCAAGATACTGTGAACAAAACCTCAGTTCAATAAATCATTCACGCGGGACATACCCGGATTCAAACAGAGATGTGCTCGGTAGCCTGAGGGTTGGAGCATCGATGTAACGGCCAATGTGGTCAAGTTCAACAGTGTGTTTGAATTGAGTAGGTTCAACTGAACCTGGGAGTTGA